CCCAAAATTGTGAGGGAAATTTGGAATAATTAGTACTTTATGTCACTGTACTCTTTGGGTAACAACAATAAACTGTTCTGATTCAGAAGTGACTAATTTAAATAATCTTTAAAGCTTAAAAAATTTGTACACATAACAAATAATTCTTAATGTGTCTTGGTCCAACTGTAATTCAACACTCCACCTCTGTGTGTACCTTACAAGGACCTGAACTGCAAAATGTCATATTAACAAATCTGCCTGCCTAAGATATGATAAAGTTTAAAATATTACATGTAGCTTTTTAAGTAATAATTCTGAGTCAAGCCAATCACAGAAAATGATATTATTCTAACATTTTATGGTTATTTCAAATGTATATATAAAACCTTAGAAAATATTTCGTTTCACATCCTCCAAGTGCAAGATTTTATAAGGCTTAGCAACCTACAGCAACCAACAAGTGAGTACAACGGTCGTAACTAGAAGAGATAATTCTTTGCTATACTTATTTATTTACTGTTCTGTGTTTTAAGAAAAATAAGTTTAAGAACTTATTTGTAAATAGTAATAATGTATTATAAGTGAAAAGTGACTGTATTTTACAAAATACTAGTCCACTAAAACACAGCCAAGGCAGGTCACTTTATAAAGGTCAGTTTTATATTATTGGATACAGTAACGTGAGTGCATGTGCACCACATCATTGTAATTTCTGTGATGTTATTCAGGCACAGCTGAAAGATCAATATAATAAAAATAATAAATATATACAAATGTATAATGTTATGACATTTAAGCTTATTTGTGTTTTCGAGTTATAATTTGTAGTTATTCTAGAACAAAAAAAGAATAATTTATCTATTGAACCCGTACAGAGAGTTAATAGCAAAAATAACAGTTAAAATATAAATATTTTTCTCAAAAAAAAGTTTGATAATTATCTATAGGTTATAAAGATTTTGCTTGTGAAATTTGAAAATTTTCTGATGCATAAAGTATTTTCAATCTTAAGATGAAAATTACTTTGCATTTTGGATATGCAACATGTGAAAAGAAAAAAGGCATGAAAAAAAGATTACTTAAAAAAACCTTAAGACTTAATAAAAAAAATTGATATCTTGCATACAAAAACCTTGTAATGTGTACTGATAATCTGTCAAATTTCGTGAACATACGCTTACTAATTTAATAGCATAAGATCTATAACAAACACAAAATAGTTACGAGGTCGGTCCCAGTGACTGAGCCCATGCTGAAAGAGTTAACTAGGATAGTTATATATCACATGTTCAGATCATGTCTTTTTTTTTGACATGATTAGTATTCTTCATGTGATCCAACATCAGAAAGTAACATTTACTAATGAATAGAAGATAAATGTAACATTGCAATAGTTTTAGGTCTGTAGATTTGAAAAAGACAAAATCAGATGCACATAAAAGCTAATAATAAATGCTAATAGCAAATTTAATATCTGAAGAGACAACCAGATAATGGGCAGTTGAGGGCTAGCCAGTACTCTATGTAAAAGGTAGATTGTAATGACCTGGGGGATGTTGGAAGGTTTTTGAGAATGTTATGACAAAAGTAAGAAACAAAAAATTTAAATATAAAGTCTTCTCAGTGACACAGATATTTTTGCCCTGTAGGTCATATGCCGATGACACAAGATTTAATGTGACTATTTGAAATATCCTGTATCAGACAAATGGAAAAATCCTTGTACCTGTTGGTTCAATATGGATTCTTTGAGCTGTAGAAGTTCATAATAAGTTATATTACCTGCCTGTGATAAAGAGCATTAGACTCTGGTGCAGATGCTGTCTCATCACTATTTTGGGGAAATATTTTTTATACTCCCATTAGCTGTAATTTTTACCTTGAATAGTAGTTTTTTGAGTATTTGAATGTTGCTATTTTATCTCATGTTGGGGTAATCCTGGCAATAATTCGTAAATATAATCTCTTCAATAAAACATTTATTTGTGTAACAGAGTTTAATTTGAATTTTTATAATTTTATTTTAATTGCATGTAATTTAATAGTTTGCATCGTGTGTGACATTGTGTTTTGTTGTTGTTTTTTTGCATGTTTTCTTCAAGCATCTTGGAATGTGCAAGTTATCTTTCATATTATCAGATGTAGCACAATATGTTTTTGAGAAAGAGCATGAGCATCTTCAACCCACTTCATCCAATTAACACACTTGTTGTGACCTATGGAACCTGGTAAGATTATATGTGTGCTCAATAAATATAACAAATATGTAACTTAAAAAGAGTGTCAGGATTTTTATTATTGAACCTTTTTTTTTATCTTTTCTTTTACAAACTTGAATAGATTTTCGATTGAAACCATTTTGGAACTTAAACTTTAGTTTAACTGCTTTCAAGCATCACTAGCACATTTATAATAAAACAGTAAAATTGAGCTACCTGTACTGAAATTAAAGTATTTATTAACACAATGAGATAATAAGTTCTTTACTTCAAAATTAAAGGAATTCTTAGCTACTACACTTGCTGAGTCATCTTTCAGGATGTCCAAAATATCTACAACTATGAAGAATTGAAGTACTATGTTCCATCTTATCTTTATATTGCTTCATATATTTTCTAAATTTCAAAACTTCACACACCACACATACTTTAGGTTACAAGTGGGTTGATAACTACATAGGTAACTCCTCAGTGATTTACATGTACTCAAGAGAGCTTCAAGTGATAAAATATTTATGAACTGAAACAACAAAAGTGTAATACAATGTCAGAATGATTTTTAATAGATAACTTTAAGTTGATTTGTTGCTATGAACTATAATTACATATAATGCCTTCTATTTGAACATAACCTAAAGACAGAGTGAATTTTGTTTCACTATTGTTGACTTATATTTTACTAAAGTACAGAGTGGAACAACGGGTATGTTGTTATTATTTATATAAAGGCTCTAAAGATCTTTTTAGAATGGAAATTAAGAACATATAAGAAACAGGTTTTTGTAACAATGATTGGTAAAGAAAGTGATCATATATTTGTGTAGCTTATAAAAGAATAGTTTTGTATAAATATAATGTATGCTATATATTGTAAAATTTTGAATTGGCTTACATTTCATTTAAAATGGCCTTTTCAAGATAACTTGGTGAAAAATGTGATTTTGATTCAACTTGAACTGTTACTTTATTTTTAGGTTATATTTTCAGAACAGTTGTGTTGGATAGTCAAAAAAAAACAACAAAGCAAGGGTTCATTAAGCTACTGATTCTGAACAGATTGAACCAAGTAACATTAAAGAAAATATTTCAATACAATATCTTACCTCCTCTCACAGAATACCTTTTCCCGACTTGTACTGCTCTCTATATGAGCAAAGTTTTGCTTGCCACTAGCTACCTACCCTCGCATGTGTTCGCTTGAGGCAGCTGCATGATAGCATGCAAATGAGCATGCGACAACCCTCCACCAATAGAAGCGTGACATAACTCCTAGCATAGCTGACTCCCTCTATCCAACTTAGCCCAACTTCACTTCTTGATTGGCAATTGTGGTGTTACAACTTGTTTTTTGCTCCCGCTTTACTTTATGGTATTTCCAATCAGTTCCTTGTGTTTTTTTAATGATTACTTAGGTTTTCTTTACATTTGCTACACTTGTGGTCTGAAATTTTAGTTATTACGCATTAGCATTATAGCATTATATGCTTCATTTGAATAAATCAGGACTGGTCTGTTTTTTTAAAAATAAAGTTTTGCAGTCACCCATTGCACTTCCTCTGGTGCAGCATTCCTCCAGACTTTCCAGTGCATTTCCCCCCCCCCCTTTCTTCCAGTGGAGTATGGGAGTCCTAACCACTTACCAGCTTCTAGCCACTAGGGTGGTGGACCAGGACCATGGTGATTTCCTTCTGATGTACTGTTCCAGATGCTGCCTGGTTATGGACTGGATGATTTCTGCCAAAATGCAGTTTACCCCTTCATTTTGGCACCCTCCTGCCTACCTTCACCCTAGGACATCAGTTCTTGAGGGGTACTGGTGTTGGTTATGTTAGACATACACACGTGATGATACAGGTCTTGGAATAGAAGGTCTTCCCATTCAGTTTCCGTGCCTGAGTTGAACAGTAGAGGACCCTTTTCTCTACCATGGGCCAGATATTCAGGTCATGGTACTGATAATGTTGGTGGAGGTTGAACTCCCCCTTATGGTCCACTGCACCCTAGCCACTCTACACCAGAGGTCTCTCCTATGATTACATCCTTATTCTGACACATCATTTTCATGGTCGCAGAGTATACCTGGTTCAGAAGTGGTGAGGTCTCCCACGGGTGTGTCTTACATGCTCTTTATTCACACACCCCAAGGGCTTCCTTTGGACACATTCTGAAGGTGGCTCATTTAGGTACTGTTATACTGGTTTCTCCACCAGGTCAGTGTGGGATTCTAGCTATTCTGTGAGAGGAGATAAGATATTGTATTGGAAGTTAAAATTTTTTTACTGTTGAAATTTATTATCAGCAAGTCAGAGACACCTACTGTAAAGAATCCAGCCTACAAAATGTAACATTTGCAATAGGGCTTTGGGCTTTTAATTGCAAAGTGTCAACAGAAGCTATTGCATGCAATTATTTCAAGTCGGAAAATGCTAATGCTTCATCAGAACAATGTAGACTATGTAAAAATTGTTAAATATCATAAGCATCTACACCATAACTACATAGACATAATTTTTTACATCACAAAAATAGGAGATTTGGTCGAACCCCCCTTGCTTACATGCATGTATTGTGCAATAACTTGGTTGAGATCTTAGTCTTCTTTAGAAAATAGTGTTTCTAGCATACCATATACAATCATAGTGTAAATCCACTGATATGATTTTGAGTACTGGTTTTTATAGTATTTTAGCTGATTAATTTGTTTTTTATTCAATGCTACTGTTGTTATAGTGAAAATAACATGGAAGATAAATTATGATATATGACTGACATATATGTTTTTATTATCCAATTGCCACTTGCTGGTACACTTATGCTGCACAGTGGGTAGCAACTTGCTTCTACTTGCCATTAAACCAGATCTTGCAAGGACAGAGGTTTCCTGTCGCAAGTGTGGTGCCCATCTGGGTCATGTGTTTCAAGATGGACCCAAACCAACGGGTAAGCGATATTGCATCAACTCGGCTTCCCTGGATTTTAGAAAAGATGAGAACATCTGCAGTGAATCTTCTGAAAATGCCGACAAGAACAAGGAAACTGGTGATAATGTAACAAAATGAATGTTTGAATGTTAAATATGCTTCTTTTTATGATTCCAGAATCATATTTAAAACATGCTCAGTGATTTTAGAATTTTAATTATAATATGCATGAAAATTCTGTCCTTTCCTGACATAATAACACATATTAAAGTTGTTTATTTTAGTTAATAATCAATGCAAAGTTATGTGTTAATGTGGTTTCAAACTACATATCAGAGGACTGTATCATTATCTTTAAAGTGTATGTGAATTTATAAGGTGTTAGACGCCATAGTTGTAGAAAGAAACCAACAAAGAATTTTTAAAATGTCTTAAAGTACAATAAAATATTTACTTGATAAGTTACTGTATAAAGATAAAAACTGATGACAATCTCGTAGATTGTACATTACGATGTATTACTTTATCATCATCAGTCAGTTTCTTTCAACAACTGTTGTGTTTAAAATTTTACACAAGTATCATGTTTAATAATATATCGTAAATAATTGTTAATTCTAGATAATTTTGCTGTGTGGGCCATCACAAAAATACATGCATATTGATGCAGTGTATTTGTTTTTAGTAGAGGAAGGAAATTATACATTCCAGTTTTAATTAGCTTTAAAGAACACCATATTTTTAGTGTAAATATATTTGTTTTTGTTATAAAAGCTATTTATATAAACAGTGATTTATAAAATCTTGATTGTGGTTCTTGAATTCCCATTTTATCCCATCATGTTAATCTTCCACATATTTTATACATTTTTGCTCTATACACTGCACGTGTTATAATATTTTAAGCACTGTGAATTTTGAACTGTATTCATTGACAGCGAAGCATCTTGCACTGTAAAGGGTTTTTCTAGTTATGAATATTGTATATATGTTTGGGTTTCCCTTTTTTTAAACATTTAAGCTTATCACTTCTTGAATAAGTAATCTTTTCAAAGCTAACTTTTTTTATAAACTTAGAAAACAAAATTGGTGATTTAACCAATAGAGAGAGAGAGAGAAGCACACCCATTTCTATAATATGAATATCTTGATTTAGAGTCTAGATAACACATCTATTGTATGTCATACCAGTGTTTTCTGTGTTTCATTTTGAGCACCAAATTATTGTGTAGAGGTAAGGCTGTGAAAAGTTATCATGATTAATATCAGAATGACTAAATATAGTGAGAGCAAGTTATCTGTCATTCACCAATACAAATGGGAGTGGTTTGATTCTTTTTGTTTTTTGTATATGTTTATTAATAAATCATTTTTAGTAGTAAAAGGAATTCATAATAATGATAACATTAAGAACTTGTATGTTTTCAATGTTAGTCAATAATTATGAGGATAATACTTCCAATGCATTTAGTTAGAAATAAAAGTATCAAATAAGATATGTAGAAAAATAAAAAATCACTTTATTTTCATATTCGATATCTGTTTAGCAATAAGTAGTACCAGCTGTTTTTGAATGAAAAGTAATTTGGTTAGATACAAATTCTGATAAATGCATAGTTATGTGCAAATAAGTAATGGTTTTATTTACATTTTCTTGTTCATATGTTAAAATGTCACATGTTTTAAATTGTTTCTCTGAAATGCTTTATCTTGCACAAATAACAACAGGAATTTTTTTTTTGTGAATGAATTTAATTAGTATTTTAATTTCTATGTAAAACAAAAAAGGCAAATAGCTTTATGTATGTAAGTAGATATATTCCACATTATGTTTATCAAAATCCATAATGATAAATAATCCTTGTTTAATTTACCATAGAAGAAATTTAATTATTAAGATGCTGTAGTTTTCAACTGAAACTTCATACTGACAGTTAGGTGCATAGTAATGTTTGTTTTATTAGGCATTAGTTATGTATGTCGAAAATACTTATTTCATTTTGAAATTAGCACAGATAGCCCATTGTGTAGCTTGGTGCTTAACTTCAAACAAATAAAAACATTTTGAAATTAAATTACTGTTTTTGAACTAGTTAGTAATTCTTGGTTATTCCTTGAGTAAATATTGTCTTTTAAATGCAAAAATACATACTTATATAATTATAATGTTACTAAATGTATTTTTTATCAAAGTTGTCTTTTTTTGATTATTTCAATTTTTTAGGGTAACTTTTGATGATATATAAACACCATAAAATCTTTATCTTTTGTGATTTGGCTTACATCAGTTGTTTTGCTTTTGTTTGTGACATGATGCATAAGTTACATTTTTAACATGATTTATTTGTTTTAAATTCATCTATAGTATTTATATTTTTATTTACCTATCATATTGTGTCTGTTTTAATTCTACAGACATGAGACATTTAATACAAGTATATTATAATAACTAGATAAGATTGGGATTTCTACTTGAAAAGCTTAGAAGCCAGAATAGTCAAAACTGTATGATTATTAAACTCTATACTGTGGTTAGAATATTAAGTTAGTTTTTTGTATGTTACTTGTTGAAAGTAAAATGTAAATCAAAGTGAAAATTTGATTTTTATTGGTCAAAGTTTTATATTCTTTTACCCTTTGGGTCTGATTAAACCCTCTAATGAGTCATATGACTTGTATTGAACAGCCATTTTTCTTAAATTTAAAAAATATTACTTTTTATGTAATAAGTTGCATCAAAATTAGCATTAATATCTTATTTTACTAATGGATTTTTTCAAACTAATCCTTTTTTATAAATTTAATTCAGGATTAGCAATGGATTCATGATAGGGAAACCGAAGTTTAATAATGAAGATGAAGACGGTTGATAAAACATAAAATATTTTAATCAGTGTACATAAAGACTTAAAAAAAAAGAATTTCAGGATCCATACCTAAACTCCCCGGCCCGGCATGGCCAGGTCATTAGGACACTCGACTCGTAATCTGAGAGTCCTGGGTTCCAATCCCCATCCCGCCAAACATGCTTGCCCTTTCAGCCGTGGGGGCATTATAATATGATGGTCAATTCCACTATTCGTTGGTAAAAGAGTAGCCCAAGAGTTGGTGGTGGGTGGTGATGACTAGTTGCCTTCCCTCTAGTCTTACACTGCTCAGTTAGGGATGGCTAGTGCAGATAGCCCTCGTGTAGCTTTGTGCGAAATTCAAAAACAAACAAACAAACCTAAACTCCCAGAACTTTCAAATCTTGCCACATAGGATTAATCTTGCATTTTCATTCATTAAGACATGTACTACCATTTTAGTAATAATCATCTTTGTAACACAATTTTCAGATTTCACTGAAGATGGTATATAAGTTATTCCAAAACAATCGAACCTTGTAAGTAAAATGTTTATGTTTTATCAACTGTCTTCATCTTCATTATTAATTGATGATTATTGTAAATTTAAAAAAAAATATTTTTTTAAATCGTTTATAAGAAAAAAAGCCATTTCATATTAATTATTTTAATATATTAAGTCATTTCTTTTCATTTTTATCTGTGATAATTATAAAGAATAAAATAAATAAGTAGCAAAACAAGTAATAAGAAGAAACTTATGGATTTCATTAGGTTCATCATATGATAGAATTACTTTGATTTTTAAGTGTTATACTCATAAAAGAGATTATTGTTTGCATAATACTGTTTCAGTACTGTAGTGTTACATTAACCTCAAATAACATCTTCATAAAATAACGAATCATGGCTTCATTTGTTTTATCAGATGTTTTGTTACCTCACACCCAACCAGACCTTTATGAGAATGAAGACTAGCAGTTAGTATGATGTGATGTATAATTTAGAATCATGAAAGGCCATCGAAAAAATAGTGTAAAGATACCAGTTAATTTTTGGTATTGTTATATATGGTTTCAGAACTGTTTTATTACAGTAATTTTTTATCATCCCTGCAACTTAACCTCTTTGTTCATGTTTATCCTTACAGAGAAAAATATTAAAAATATATATATATGCTTATTGTAAGTTATTTTAGCTTGCCTAATTGAATAACACTGCCATATTTGCTTCTGCTATATATTGTAGTAGTTTACATGTATCTTCTGTGTTACGTAAATGATTGTCAAAATAAATGTTACAGTTTAAATCATGTGGTGTCCATTTTATAACTTACAAACTATATTAATTAGTAAATGTCTTGTGTCTTATTTATCCATAATCTAAGGTAGTTTTTTTTTGTTGTTGTTATAAGCTAAATGTTTAAATGATTTATATTAAAAAATAAAGTGCCTTTGTTGGCCCATAGTTGTATCATATAATTAAAAGATCTTTCATATCACAAGATAATACTGTCTTAAATTGTTTTGATTGAGAAATAATTTGAATAATACTAATTTATCAATTTTTCAGAGTAAGTTTATTTATGTAAAATTATACATTTAATGAGGAATTACTGCAGTTTAGAGACCAAATAAATTATTAGTAGAACAGACGTGAAATTTTTTTTTACATTTTGTTCTTAAATGTAATATACAACATATAAGATATTTAGTATCTAAATGAAATAACTAATACAATAGCTGTTATTAACACACAATGTGCACTAAGCTATAATATTTTAATATAACTATTTACCCTTGTTTTTCTTGATAACTTATTTGTTAGAAATATTGATGTATAAGAAGTTAATTTTAAATAGCCAGTTTTTTTGTTGTTGTTTTTTTGTCTTGTAATTATGGTCAGATTAGGAGGTATTTAAAAATTATAATATTGGGTTTGCAGCTAAATTGATGTAGATAAATATTGATAAGGTTGTGACATAAGCACCTACTAAAAGGCATGTATTATATTAATATAGCATGTGTTGTTTCTATCTTATTGTAGTTGTATATTATATTCTGAAGTCATTCATTGTTGTAAAGATGTGCATGTTTCACATAATACATAGTCAATAAAATCGTTAAGTTTTCCTTTTTTTCAAGTTACCCTTGTTATTGTCGAACTAGTTGGTACTTGTTATTGTCAAACTAGTTTGTACTTGTTATTGTCGAACTAGTTGGTATTTGTTATTGTCGAACTAGTTGGTACTTGTTATTGTCGAACTAGTTTGTACTTGTTATTGTCGAACTAGTTGGTACTTGTTATTGTCGAACTAGTTGGTACTTGTTATTGTCGAACTAGTTTGTACTTGTTATTGTCGAACTAGTTGGTATTTGTTATTGTCAAACTAGTTGGTACTTGTTGTTGTCGAACTAGTTTGTACTTGTTATTGTCGAACTAGTTTGTACTTGTTATTGTCGAACTAGTTGGTACTTGTTATTGTCGAACTAGTTGGTACTTGTTATTGTCGAACTAGTTGGTACTTGTTATTGTCGAACTAGTTGGTACTTGTTATTGTCGAACTAGTTGGTACTTGTTATTGTCGAACTAGTTGGTATTTGTTATTGTCGAACTAGTTGGTATTTGTTATTGTCGAACTAGTTGGTATTTGTTAATATCGAACTAGTTTGTACTTGTTATTGTCGAACTAGTTGGTATTTGTTATTGTCTAACTAGTTGGTACTTGTTATTGTCGAACTAGTTGGTATTTGTTATTGTCTAACTAGTTGGTACTTGTTATTGTCGAACTAGTTGATACTTGTCTATTGTCGAACTAGTTGGTATTGTTATTGTCGAACTAGTTTGTACTTGCTATTGTCGAACTAGTTGGTACTTGTTATTGTCGAACTAGTTAATACTTATTATTACCTCTGGAGATTATTGCATGATACAACTTTGTGTAAGAAAGTAGACAACAATGCTCTTCAAAGGTTGTTCAGGTTATATCTAGAGGTTACGGCCAAATCTATGTGCAATGAGAATGACGGTCACACGCCAACGCATGTCGCGTTGGGTTAAATATGAGGTTTCTTTGAATCTAAGAAACCTTGGGTTTGAGTCAAGTCTGGAACATCGTAGTTGATCCTGACCTGAGAGAGCATCCAGTATAAACGATCATCCAGTGTTAGTAAGTACAGTCCAAGTACGCGCACTGTGTCTGAGTTATATTTAATAAATATTGTTTATTTTGTTTAACACTCGTGTCCAATCTCATTATTCTGTTTAACACCGACTCAGCTAATTAAGAGTTTTTAGTAATACTCTGTAATGAATATCCTGACTTAGTCCCAAGTTATTACGTAGTGGACCTACTCGATACCTCAAGCGTATATTCTTATTTACATGGATATACCACAACCGTAAAGACATCGTGTGTGTATCTAAACAATCCTGCAAAAACACACAGGTGTTCTGTATGATCTTCACACAGAAAGGAAGCTTATCGTTTTAAAACTACGAATATCTCTTCTGATTCTACGTTATCGTCATATGACTAAATAGCAGCCGTTATGATCTGATTAAAGGTAATGTTTTCAAACATTAAACAAGCAGATAAAGTATGAGACAACGGGAAACTTGCGTGATAAACATATTGATACAACTGCAATAAAGCCCCAAGCAACACGTAGGAAAAAATATTGGAAATGGATGATTCGAATGAATTTAAATATATGATTTAACAGTTTACTACACGCTTTTGCCAGCGTATAATCTTAAATTATCCAATATAAAACGTCTCACGGTGGGACAGCAGTAAGTTTATGGACTTACAACGCTAAAGTCCGGGATTCGAGTCCCCGCTGTTGACACGAGAGATAATCGAATGTGGCTTTGCCCTAAAACAAAGACAAATAACAGTAGAGAATACACTATTAGTTCCCATGTTTCAGTAACAAATTAGATTACGTACACTTTAATCATTGGGGAAATATATGAGTTGAAATAGAGAAGTGTTTGATATACAATAATTAATTTAGATTTATTTTGAGAAATTTTTATTTAAATATAGAAATTATTTTTTATGATTGACAAATCGGTACAAATACGATCATAGCATCAGCATTAACTAACAGACGGATGGCTAGGTTCATATTGTGACTTTTACTTTTAGGAATTGTTAATATTCTTTTTTATATATTTATACATTATCAAATAAAAATCAGAATTCTACGCTCTACAACAACTAAGGAACTCCGTGATAATTT